CCATGGTCCGTTTCTTGTTATTTGTTTCAGTATCCTGGGAAGTTTCCACTCTTGCCACACTCCTCAAGGGCAATGGTGGACTGGAACGGGGTGAGGAAGATTCTAACATCCCATTCACCATTTCCAATACCTCACTCATCTTTGGGCGATTCTTTGGATTTTTTACCAAGCATCGGTTTGCTATCATAGAAAGTCTATGGGCTGATTTGAAGATTTGTTTCTTATCTAGTCTTGGGTCTAATATTAGTTGAAATTTTCTCCCATCTGATAGGTATGGCCTTATCCATTCCAAGAGCTTCTGCTCACCCCTGGGGCGATTTCGATCTATAGGGCGCCTACCGGTGATGAGTTCATAAAGGAAGACACCGTAGCTCCACACGTCATTCTTTGATGTTAGACGTCCAGTTTGAACATATTCTGGAGATGCATATCCCATTGTTCCTACAACCTGAGAAGCACAGACAGCCATATATGAACACAAGTAATATGGTCATTGGATTCCAATTTTTTATGGTTGGGTGCTGTTGAGCAATATGTTACACACTTGAACAACAAAAGGGGGTGCCAAAAGGGGGCAACTTAACCATCTGCATGCCCATGTTGAAATAACAGTGATAAAATGAAAGCTGAATTTAGATTGAGTATTGTATTAGACTATAGATTATTCGAGTAAACATTAATAGAGTACACATTATTTGCTGTTATAATTTTTGTTTTCTGCTTTATTTAGATACAAAATAGTCATTAGATGGCTTCTAGACTATGTATGTGCTATTGTTAGTTAACTGTAATCTATTAACCATAGCTAGTATCTTTTTTGTACAGATATAATAGCTTTTGTTGACCCTCATAAGGTAGCTTTTGCATCATTCAGAATTAATAAAGCTTCTCCTTTCTTTATGTTATATTAGAGTCTATCTAAAAGGATTACTCGCCATGTTACATACATATGAAGTCCAATAGTATATGAGGAAGTGTATTGGAGAAAACTTAAAATCTCATATCAACTATAGATAATATCAAAATATAGTATATAAATGGATATAATCCTCACCTCACAAAGTGATTTTGTAGGATTGAGTTAGGTCCTAATCACTCTGTAAGAATAATCAAGAAACTAACTCAATTTTTTACACACATTTAACTTCTATAGATGGTTATTTCTTACGATTTTCAGAACTGAATCAAGATTCATTCTATTATACTTCATATTTTTCACAATGTTATCCAGCCCCACTCGATCTACAGACGACTAAAGATTTACCCCTAGTCTTATATTGAATTTCTCTATTTTCTCATGTGAATTAAAACGATTAAAGGCAATTACCAGTCTTAATATGTTAGCAATATCTATTTAAAAAATCATGGATTAATAGTACACAAAGCCATACCGCTGTTGAGACATGAGTCAGTCCATCCGATGGTCCCAACCTTGCCAACCCAAAGTCTGAGAGCTTTGCATTCCATTGTTCATCCAAAAGGATATTTGAAGATTTGAAATCTCTGAAAATTATCTGCATGATGAGTACATAGTTAGCATGGCATTTACTGCACCGAGATATGAATGGTAAATAAATTAAACATGACATTGATCAAAGTACTCAAATTAACTCCTCCCAGATACCTTTCTTCTTTTTTAGCTAAATTACACTTCTCTT